AAATACCCAGTAGTGCAATTGCTGGATCGTATGGTAGCTCTATTTTCAACTTTCTGAGGAACCTCCATACTGTTTTCCAGAGTACCACCCAAATCTTTACACATATTTTACTTCTCAGTGTCAGTAACTTTGTGGTAACACCAACCCTAAGGTATATCCAGAACATAGTAGTGTTCAATCTGTGCTTGTTGAATAAATGGGCTATGCTAGAAATGAGCTTACGCCCTAGGGTTGTCACAGTGACCTGGTGTATGTAAGCAAGTTAACTTTTCTATTTAAAGGAAATGAAAGTTCAGAAAATATAAGAAATTTGTATGAGACTATCCCAGTCCTACATCTTACGACATTGCCTCATTGGTCCTGTTCAGAAGAAACCTATTGTTTTACTTCTCCCAAGACTTTGAAAGCTTTTCTAGGACCTAACCCCAGACCCATCCAGAGGTTGCAATGCTGAGAGGCCTGTTCATAAAACATGACCCTATCACCTGGCCACAGCTGATTGATCCAGAGGTAGATACCTGGCATAAACCAGCCAGTCAGAATGCTCCCACAAGAGGGAGGCTAAACAGATGAGTCTGTATGGATGCACTCCTTAAGGATAGGTATGTCAGCTTTGCAGCTGTTGGCAGTGTCCATTTTTCTTTTATGTTGCATGGGATGCAAAGAAGGCTAAACTAGGGACGCCTGGGTGGCTCAGTCGGTTAAGTTGCCTCCTCTTGATTTCAGCTCAGGTCATGATCTCAGGGTTGTGAGATCTCCTGATGGGGTTCCCTGCTCAGCGGGGAGTCTGCTTGGAATTCTCTCTCTCCCTCTGCCCCTCCCCTGCTCATGCACACATACATACACACACACACACACACACACACACACACACTCTTTCTCTCTCTTAAATAAATAAATAAAATCTTTTAAAAAATTTTTTAAAAAGAAGGCAAAGCTACAATGAAGTACAATGAAAAATGGAAACAGACTGAGAGAACTGTAGATTCTCCACAGTGATTTAGACTAATGGTTTAAACTAATTCCTGAAGCCCAGCTAAACCTTTGCCATGAGACACTCTGGCATCCTATGAATAAATTCCTCATTATTATAGGTAAGCCAGTGTTAGTACCTAGTTACCTGGTGTTAGCACTGGGTCTGTTATTTGCTACCAAACAGTCCTAATGAATATATCCTCTTCTTTAATCCCTGCAATCTTGTCTTTAGTTGTCTTTCTTCCAGATACTAGTTGGATGTCTGGAGGAGGTATTTCAAGGTGCTAGGTAGTTAAAAAAAGAGGAAGAATCCAATAAATTTGAATAATGGCAGCATAAAGATCCTATGTTCTTCTTTTGTCTTTCCAAGTATTCCCTAAGGTTCACTTGGATTCTCACTGCCATGCCCCTTACAGAAGTTTACTCCATCAATATGCTATTTCTTTCTTGCATCTTTCTTGTTTCTTGTCTACTGTATCCTTTTCTGTGCTTACAAAAATTCTTTGTTCTTTTCCTATTCTAAAATAAAACTTTCTCTTGAGGCTGCTATCCTATCAAATGTCTACACAATCTTATCCTTCCTCCTGCTGCCAAATATAGCTTCATTTGTGAAACATTGGAAAAATTCCAGAGGAATTAAAGTCATAATGAAGTGGTATTAATATACATTCTTGGCTTCTATATCTTTTTGGATAAGACAGCTGACTGTCATAGTGGATAAAGGTATAGACCTCAGAGCCAGGCTGTCTTAGTTTTTTTATTTTATTTTATTTTATTTTATTTTATTTTATTTTATTTTATTTTTTATTTATTTTAGAGAGAGAGTGTGGAGGCCGGGGTGGGGGGTGGAACAGCAGAGGGAGAGACAGAATCTCAAGCAGACTCTGAGCTGAGCATGGAGCCCGATGCATGCTCGATCTCATGACCCTGAGATCAAGACCTGAGCTGAAATCAAGAGTCCAAAGCTTAGCCAGCTGACCCATCCAGGCCCCCCCAGGCTGGGTTAGTTTTAAATGCTACCTCTGTTACTTTGTAGTTACTTGATCTTGGGCAAATAACCTCTCTACAGGTCAGTTTCTTCACTTATAAAATGGGGATAGAAACATAAGTTACTTCATATGGTTTTATAAAAATTAAATTAGTATTTATCAAATACACTAGAGTCTAGAACAAAGTAAGTACTATATAATGTCATGGAAAGGGAAATACATTGTAAGGGGGGATTGTCTACTATCCTGATCACACTGTAGGAATTATTCACATGAGGGCTTTCACTAGAAACCTTGGCAACCTAAAATTGACTCTGCTGTGGAGTACAGAATTTGCCGAATTACTTAGGAAAAATTCAGAAGAACCGGCAGTTTGTTATTTTTGTTGTTTTTATGAGAAATGGCCAAGAAGCCTTTGTTGATTTTGTGGAACCATTTCAAAAGATAGCTTGTTAATTATAAAATATCCTTCAAAATGATGGCATACTTATAATTCTAGCTCAAATCTCCATTGCAAAAATGTCCATTGCCATGTGTTAAATTTTTTTGACATAGCTTTTTTTTTAAAATTTCATTTGTTTTTGCTGCTACTAATTGCAGCAACCCATGTATTCAAGTCACTAGGTAGTTCCCGTCTTGTACCCTGAGGAGTCTCTATCTTGTCACAGGCTAATAATTATTCTGGAAGACCAAAATGTCTTCCTGCTTGAGTAAAATCTTCTGGGAATTAGAAATAAAGGACTGCCTTTCCAATTTTCCAAATAGAACATTTCCCAAACGCTTGGCCAGTTAAGATGCTAAGAGGTAGTTTCGTGCACAACATAGCTAAAGACACAACATGTGGAGGCAGACTGCATGGATTCTACTCCTACTGATACTTGTGTTCTCCGACAGATTCCTTAACAACTCTGGGCCTCAGTTTCTGCCTCTGAAAATGCAGATAAGAACACCTACTCCATTGCTTCTTGCAAGGATTAAATGAATTACATCATAAAGTGTTTAGAGCATTCAGAGCAATAGTAAGCCATCAATAAATGAAAACTATAATAATCATTCTTAGTGCTTTTAATGAGATGTTTCATTTTACTAGTTAATGTTATTTTGGTCACACACTCCTAATTTCCTATTTCAAGAATTTATTGTGATGTTTTATGAATTTTCAGTTCTTTGATAGAAACTAGAAATGTTAAGGGACATCTAATTTTATATATTTAAACTATTTAAACACACTATTTTTCTACAATGGTACCCTCTCTCAAAAGAAGATTTTTGTGATGATTTTTTTTTTTTATTGCTTTTCCAGATGTGGTTACTCCAAATGGCTTGAATGTTAAGAAATTTTCAGCGGTACATGAGTTTCAAAATCTACATGCCATGTACAAGGCCAGGATCCAAGATTTTGTTCGAGGTCATTTCTATGGGTATGCTCTTCTTTATTTAAAAAAAAAAAAATAACGTGTCTTAGGGACCTATGGCATAGAGAAAACAAAATTGTTATAGTAAATGTTTATCTTTCCCAGCCCCCTTTGAACTTTAACAGAATTTATTTGTATATTTTGTTGCTGTTGCCTTATTTCATTTGAAACTGTTTTGTTTTGTTTTAGTCATCTGGACTTTGACCTTGAAAAGACTTTGTTCCTTTTCATTGCTGGGAGATACGAGTTTTCAAACAAAGGAGCTGACATCTTCCTAGAAGCCTTATCCAGGCTAAATTTTCTGCTGAGGGTAAGAACGCTATAGAACACCATGCAATACTTTTATAGGCGGACTTCCTTCTGTGGGAAGTAAAGAACTTTCTGGCTTCTTAAGAAGTATCCAGCAGATATGTGATTGTGAATACTTAAAATGACAACCTTATTCTGAAAATGGCTCCAGCTTTTCAATTTACATATTGGGATCACCACGTTGTTCACTTGTGTCTCTGTCTATGTTATCTGGTATTTTTTTTAAGAGAGCCACAAGCTTATTGTGTTCTGTTTTAAGATGACATTATAACATTCCTTTCCCTGTCCCAAGAGTTAACCAGTTGAAAGATAAATATGAAGAAATCAAGCAAATGGAGAACAAAATTCGCCATTTTTAAAACCGATAAAGACTGAGGGGCACCTGGGTGGCTCAGTCGGTTGAGGTTCTGCCTTCGGCTCAGGTCATGATCCCTGACTCCTGGGATTGAGCCCCTCATCAGGCTCCCTGCTCAGCGGGGAGTCTGCTTCTCTCTCAGCTCCTCACCCCGCCTCTCTCCCTCTCTCTCTCTCAAATAAATAAATAAAATCTAAAAAATAAAAAAAATAATAAAACCAATAAAGACTTGTAATGGAAGATGTGGCTTGGTATATGGCACCCACAGGCTTCCTGATATTGAACCTTGCTATTAGACCTAGCTAGCTCATCACATTGCTGTGCTCCCCCAACCAAAGAAGACCTTCAGAGGAGCCTCTACCACACAGCTGGCAACCAAGCAGTTGCTCTCTGTGCAAGGGGAAGACGCACACAAACACTATTCCCCTCCCTACTCGCCAGCCATGTCTCCTCCCCGAGATTAGTAAGAGTCTTGAACTGTGAAACCAGGAGGTGTCCCACCACATGGAAACAAGGAGGGGAAAGGAGGTTCCTGCTTCCATGTGGAATCAGTTTCTGCTCAGGAAGGTGGGACTTAACATAGGTTCCCAATTACGCCAGCAATAAAATCTGTGCCAATAGAAAAAGCTATACAAAATGGTACTATGGAATAGCTAGTGATTGAAGTTATTGGCTTATATTCTAATCCTGTCATGTAAAAGTATAGAATAAATAACAGTAAGCTACGGGAGACCAGTGTAGAATTTCAATCTTACTGAGATACCAAGACAACCTAAACTTTCACTGTTCTCCAGTTAATTTTTTTCCTTGGACATAGATTTATTTTTGCCTTAGAGCAGACATCACACCAAGTATACTAAAAGATTTACTGATACCACTTAATAAGGAAATAATACATTAATAAAAACCCAACTCTGTAAAATAGGACTGAAGACTACATAGATTATTCTTTAATAGGCAGGAATAATCTTATTCCATAATATTTCCTGGTATGTGTCTATTCAACAAGCTTTAAAGATGGACTCAAAGTTATATCAAACATATATCATGTTTAGGGACATTATTAATCAATTTATCTATATATTTATTAAATAGTCACTTTATCTTTAAGTATGAAGAAAAAGCCAATTGCTATTCTAGACATCAAAGATCATTACAATACTTGGAGAAATTAAAAGAAAGCATTCTCTTTCATATAGTACATTTATTCTTTCATAGGACATTGGCTACTCCTGGAGTGAGTTTCCTATTCTATGACTTTTGTAGATTTTTTTAATAGAATGTCAGACCCTTGAGGGGGCTATAAAGTATGCAGTGCCCACATTTAGGATATAGTCATTTCCAGAATACACGAACATTCATATGTGCACGGTTTTAAGTGAGCTTATGCTTCCATTCTCACAGTGGTTTGGATATGTCATTTCCTTCTGAGATGTGCTAGGGAAGAGGAAAAGAAAACAGAGTCTAGGATCAAAGACACCAGTTTGAATCTCAGCTCTGCCAATAACCTGTTATAGGATCTCAGACAAAATATTGAAACTCTCATGCCACTCTTTCAATTAGTAAAATGAAGAGAGTGATATCTCTTGTGCACGGTTTTTATGAGGATTGGATTAAATTATTCATTTAAAGTGTCTGGCACAGTGCCTGCCACACCAGAGGGGCTGAGCACATGCTTGTTCCTGTACTTTAGGACTAAAAAACCAAAATGCCGCATTATGGCAAGGCATTTAACAGAAAAGTGTAAATCATCTATTTATACAAATCAATGTGAATAAACTAGAAAAAAATAGAATAAAACAAAACTAAATCCCCATGAACTTTCCAATCTGAAATTTTAAAGAGCTAATTTTGGCCTTGTAACATTAGCTCACATTCATGTGACTTTTTTTTAACCCCAGAAAAGCACCGTGATATCACTAGCAATTGCTATGTATTTTAGCTGCTTAAGGAAAATATTTTATGTCTGAATTTTCAAATTGTTAATCAACAGATCTTGACTGAAAGCCAGATTTAAATTAATAGTTCTGAGTTAAGCTTCAGGAAGGTGGCTTTAATTTCTCTGTGAATCATAAATAAGTATTCCTTTTATCTAAAGGTAATTTAAAACATTGTTTTTTTTAAGTTTAAGGTCCATCTGTTGATGTTTTCGTTTATCTTTGGTAGTTAACTTGTGTTTCCTAATCCCTCACTAGATGCATAAAAGTGACGTTACAGTGGTGGTGTTTTTCATCATGCCTGCCAAGACAAATAATTTCAATGTGGAAACGCTGAAAGGCCAGGCAGTGCGGAAACAGCTATGGTAATCTCATGTCTTGTGAATGTTCTCAATAAGTGTCAAGAGATTTTTTTAACATGCATAATTTCTGATATATCTCCTTCAACTGTTTTTTCTTTAAGATTACCATAGCACAAGGGGTGCTTGGGTAGCTCAGTTGGTTAAGCTTCTGCCTTCAGCTCAGGTCATGATCCTGGGGTTCTGGGATCAACCCTCCACGTTGGGCTCCCTGCTCAGCAGGGAGTCTGCTTCTCCCTCTCCCTCTGACCCTCCCCCCTGTTCCTGCCCTCTCTTTCTCTCTCTCTCTCACAAACGAATAAATAAAAAATCTTTTTAAAAAAAGATTATGTTAGCACAAATGCTACTGGGTTCTCTTCTCATAGGCTACTATGTCAGATTATGTAGTGCCTATCAAACTGTGTTACTATAAAAACTTTGGAATGAGCCACCATGGAAGGAAAAACCTCTGTGGAAATCTTTAAAGATGGGTTGAATTTATTTTTAATTTTATGGTGAAAATTTAAAAATGAATGCCGGGGCGCCTGGGTGGCTCAGTCGTTGAGCGTCTGCCTTCGGCTTGGGTCGTGATCCCGGGGTCCTGGGATCGAGCCCCGCATCGGGCTCCCTGCTCCACGGGAAGCCTGCTTCTCCCTCTCCCACTCCCCCTGCTTGTGTTCCCT